GAAGAATCTGCATACTTTAGACTTAACTCTGGTTAGTAAACATATTACATTTCATCACAGAAGATGTGTGTGCACCATATTAGCCCACATACCATGAAGAGTGTCCAGGCATAACCATGAGATCTGGCAACAATGCTGAGAAAGTCCTTTGTAACAGCCACAAACAGAAGACAGTTTACAGTGTGTGTGTGTGTGTGTGTGTGTGTGTGTGTGTGTGTGTGTGTGTGTGTTTTCATTAATTTTTTTTAAACACATAGCCAAAACAAGAAGTCAGGAAAAATATTTGCAGACCATATGATACAGAATTAATCTTTATTAAAAAGCCCAAAATGCAATAAGAAAATGTTAAATAATTCCAGCAAAAAACAGGTACTAGATCTACATAGGAGAAAATGTGGCCAATAAATACATAACAAAAAGTTCAACATTTGTAGTTACCAAATAATAAAAATCAAAATAATTAGATAATATCTTGTACCTACTAAATTAACTCTCTCAGCCTAAAAGGGGGTATTCCAAGTGCTGATGAGGAGCAGTGAGATCTGCAAGGTCCGAAAACAGCAAGATGGCAGGCACCGGGTTATCAGGAGTCTGAGGGATGTTCATCCCGAGCCAGTGAATCCATTTCTGGGCAATCATAAGAACATAATACAAACTATGGGGAAACAATGCAAACAATTATAATACTAATACCCAGGACTTCACGCATACTAGGCAAGTGTCCTAACATAGACCACATCCCCAGCTCCTGCATAAATATATACATATATTTTTAAAAAATAAGGAACAAAAAGTAATCTCTCCCCTATTTTTCAACCAGAAATTTTCTTTTGTGAAGATCATCACAAAAAATGGAAGAATTAGAAAGGGTTCAAAGTAAAGTAACCAAGAGAATTACAATAGGTTGCCATGTATTTTAGTGCTAAAACTCTGGAATGAGCTACCAAGACCCTTGTGAATGTCTTCTCTAACCAAATCTTAATAACTTTTTATCCTCAACTACCTTAAAAGGCACAGGGCCTGGTCTTCAGTCTTTAAGAAGTGAAGGGAACAACTGGTCAATCGATCTGAGGAAACAATGGAAGCAAAGTTAAGTGACTTGTCCTGTAACCAATAGGTATGCTCCATGTTCTCTACATAAACACCATGAAATTTAATGCTAAATGATCCTGCAGGAAAAAAAAAGAAAAGAAAAGAAAAAATATCCTTCAGGAGTGGCCCTCCTCATTCTACAGCTGAGCTCACAGGACTCCATGACATCAGGCCGAGGTGGTCTACGGTACATCAGTGTTCCAATCGGGCATAGTGAGACTCCAGAGAGCCTGTGACAACCACATGGCCCCCAAGGCTCCCTGCAGTTGCTTAGCTCCTATGACTCCAAGACCAAAGCTCCGTCCTCCTTCCCAAGCTACTTCAGAAAGGTGCAGTAGGAAAACAGAGGCCTCTGTGGATGAATAGGCATTCACCTCCTTTAGAAATAGTACTCTTTAGAAGTAACTATTTGAATGCACACAGTAGGGTTGAGTTTTTGCAGACAAGGACATGTCCTGTATCCTACCATAGGCACTTTGCACTGGTGCATAGCAGCAGTCACATTAGCCAACCCTACTGGCAATCATAAAAAAATATTTTGAGTCATGAAAAAGTATAAGCAAGGCCACAATTTTGCGCATTGCTTTAGCCATCCCTGTTGTCTACAGATGACAGTTTTTGTTAAAGGGCCTTCATTTATTATGTGTACAGTCTGTTCTTGGTGAAGCTAGCAATTGCTCAAATTCAAGCTGTGTACTGGAGCAGCCATTAGTACTGTCTCCTGAGGATTTCAGCCCTGGGGATTTTGTATCCCTGTCAGTAAAAAAAATTAGCCATTGAAGCTCTTCAGCTCACCTCCTACATTCCCCAGTCCCTTTCTATCATAACTGTCTCATTTTAAGCCCTGATCTCTTCTTGCCTTAATTGATGTTATAACCCTCCTTTTGTTTTTAGTAACAGCTTGTTGACATATAAATCACATAGCAAATTCAAGACCAATTTAGTGGTTTTAGCATATTCACAGTTGAACTCATAGCCCTTTAACAAAACACCACCACTGCACCACATTCCATCACCCCAAAAAGAAACCTGCACCCATTAGCAGTCACTGCCCATCTCCCTACCCTGGCCCCCCGCAACAACTAATCTCCTTTCTGTCTCTACAGATATGCCTGCAATGGACATTTCATATAAATGGAATCAAGAGAATATGTGATCTTGTTCCTGGTTTCTTTCACTTAGTATAGTACTCTCAAGATTCAACCATGTTGTAACATGTATCAGTATTTCTTTTTATGATCAAATAATGTTTAATTACAGATATATAAAATGGATACAATATGAAAACTGATTTTCACATGTTCACCAGTTATTAGACATTTGGATAAAATGAATAATGCTGCTATGAATAGTCATATACAAGGTTTTCCTTGCTATAAACTCTATAGTAAAAAATGGAATGACATTCATTTTAGTAAAGTGAATGTAGCAGTTTTTCCAACTTATTTAGCTACAACCCTCCCCATCTTTCTTCTCTTCTAAATTATGATACAAGCTCAAATAATCAGATAGGATTCTCACCAAGTTGCTTAGACCTCACTTTTTGCTGAGGCTGGCTTTGAACTTACGATCCCCCCTGCCTTTACCTCCTGAGCCACTGGGATTAAAGGCATGCGTGAGCCACTGTGCCAGGCCACTCTTTTCATTTTCTGAGACAAGGTCTCACTAAGTTGCTTAGGACCTCACTAAGTAGCTGAGGCTGGCTTTGAACTTGGGATCCTCCTTACTCAGCCCCCAAGTTATTGAAATTACAGCATACACCACTGTGCCCAGCAAAATCAGTATTCTATGAAGTTAACAAAATATTTTTCTGAATACAGCATAAATGTTACTCAGGAATTGAATCCCCCAAAATTTTAGTCTTACTCACATTATAATAATTTTTAAAAATTGGACAAAAAATGAAATGAACACATAGGAACTATTCTACATATTAGCTAAAACACTCAACCCACATATGCAATAATAGTTGGAAAAGTGTGACCTAACAGTTTCTAGGAAAGACTCTTAGACATTTTGTACTATATTGATTTTGAATGGCAGGATAATCTTCTTAAGATGGCTTTAAGAAATAATAATCACTTGTCCTACCTATATTTAAAACTTCAAGTTTTTCACATTAATTTTAATATTTCATTAAAGTATCACATTAAAAACATAAAAACATTCTAATTAATACTTGTGTTTAGTTTAACACTGTGTTAACAGACAAAGTTTCATCCAATTCTAGCCATAAAATCTTGATAATGTGGGTGGAAAAGGCTTTTTGATGATCTTTTCCTTTTTTGTTTCTGTAGATGAAATATTTAAGTTCAAACAATGTGAAAATAAATGTAAAGAAACATTCCAAAGATCTGAAACTGATTTTTTACAGTATGGGCAGTTATTCCTTTCTTTGCTCCATTTTATATATAATCTGTTAAAATTTAAAGTATGATAAACTACAGAGCTGACAGTTTAACTGATGCTTCCTTTAAGTATGTGACATAATTTGAGATTCCCCACCCCAAATAACCTTTATTTCAGTAACATATTTAGTACAAAGTTATTACCTGTGTGAGGAAGGAAGCAGAGGAAAGTGAACAGAATGGGGCTGAGACCCCCAGGTACTCACAGGAATGCTCAGGGGCTCTACACAGCCCGTCTGCAGGGGAATGAAGGCAAGGGTTACATTGTAGATACTGAGCCTGCCCGCTCTTCAGAACTAATCAGGCCAAGGCCCTATCCAGGATACAACTCCAGACTAAGAAAATTACATGGTGGAGAATCTAAACTGAGTAACACAGGAATGAAAGTGACAAAGGAAAATGAGGTCCAGACAAAAGTAGGGGAGGGAAGAAAGGCAGGAGATTGCAGAAGTGAGCAGCCACACATTAAGACACTTAAGACACTTCCCACAAGCAACAGAAGAGAGAGCCCTTGAGCCATAAAACCAGACTTCCTTCTAAAAGTTCAAGATATTTCATATAAAAACGAGCAACTAAAGCATTGAAGGAAAATGCCATATAAATGTATTTCAAGAAAAAAACTTTAAAAGAAGGTTATTCATATGAATAATAAAGGCACTCCAGAAATACGTGCCTACAAAATACATAAAAAACTATAATATCTCAACACAAAAAAGGACTTATTATAATGAGAAATAAAAGACTAATATAATCCAGAACAGCATAGCCACAGTACAGAACAATATAACTATAAGGATTAGAAAACCTCACAAAGTAGTAAAATAAATTAGGAATTATTTAAGAAATATAAACTAGAAATAACATACAGTTCAGTTAAAAAAAAAAGTTAATAATTTATGATAAACAAAAGAGGGAAAAAAGCAGGAAGTTTTTAAAGTAACAAAGAATGAAGACATTTCCGGTCCTGGTTGAAGTGGAGTAAGCACACTCTAGTTCATCTTTACCACTGATTACAGCTAAAAACTCTGGAGGGAAGCCATACTGATCAATTGAAAAGCCTCTACATTGGGTAGGATGACGCACATGGAGGGGACTTTCCTGCATTGGCCCCTTTAGCCCGTGCACCTCCCAGCTTACTCTCAAGCCAGCCAGAACGCCAGAAGAAAAACCCCAGGAATGACTGTGTCTCGTCAGGGCAGCAGTGGCAAGGATCAAAAGTATCCCTGAAAGTTTTTGGCTCTTTCCAGTCTGACCACCAGGAAAGAAGCTCAAGGAGCTTGAGAGCAGGGAAGGGATCCCAGAGAGCAGGAGGCTGGAAAAAGAGGTCCTTTAAATTACTCTATGAAATCCTGAGCTGCACTTGTGAAGAACTGACCAGGACCAAAAGGGCAAAGGCTTTGAATCTGAACTGTGATGTGGACCATCCCCAGGTCCTTTGATTGGCCCCTCATGGTACACAAGGGGACCACCTGTATTAATTTCCTCCGAGTGCTGTAAATAGTTAGCACAAACTTAGTGGCTTACAACAGTATATTTATTATCTTATGGTTCTAGGTGTCTTTACATTAATTAGGTCTACAATGTTCCTTTTACCATGTAAGGTAACATACTCCCAGGTTCTGGGAAATAGGTCATGGACATCTAATTGGGGAGTCATCTAATTATTCAGACTACCACAGGGATACAACAGAAAGGCACTACAACTTTGAGCCAACAGAAAGTAGGCCAGGGCTTTTGGTCTGAACCTACCCATTTTGATTGTCTGCTAAAACAAAAAAGATCAGCATTCTCCCCAAGACTGTAACTAAGCCCAAAATCTCATAAATGTTAAAAATGCCCAGAGCCTCATCCAAAATTACTTGAACAAAATTACAAAGAAGCAGGAATACATTAAATTCTCAAGAGAAAAAACAATCTGGGCTGGGATTGTGGCTCAGCGGTAGAGAGCACTCGCCTAGCACGGGTGGGACTCGGATTCGATCCTCAGCACCACATAAAAATAAAGGCATTGTGTTGTGTCCATCTACACCTAAAAAATAAATATTTTTAAAAAAAGAAAAAGCAATCCATAAACACAAACCATGAAATTGATCAGATGCTGAAATAATCAAATTTTGATAAAAATAAAAATAATTTATGATAAACAAAAGAGGGAAAAAAGCAGGAAGTTTTTAAAGTAGCAAACAATGAAGACATTTCCAGTCTTGGTTGAAGAAAAAAATTTTTAAAATGTCAGAGATTTGCAGGACAATATTGAAAGGTCTAACATTTGGGTTAGGGTTGTGGCTCAGGGGCAGAGCTCTTGCCTAGCATGTGTGAGGCACTGAGTTCAATCCTCAGCACCACATTAAAAAAATAATAAATAAACAAATAAAGACATTCTGTCTGTTTACAACTACCAAAAGAGAGAGAGAGAGAGAGAGAGAGAGAGAGAGAGAGAGAGAGAGGTCGGTCTAACATTCATTTAACTGAAATCCCAACAGAAGAGGAGAAAGGAATTGATGCAAATAGAGAATTTGAAGAAATTATGACTGAAAATTCCCTATCTCGGTAGAATTCACAAATTT